GGTTTCCTACAAACATTATTGATGGGGCTATAATTCTGGATGATTATTTTATTTTTATTATTCATAAGTATGCTGTGTCATAAGTACATCTCTGACGTTTATAACAAACCAAACCGTTTCTACCGAAAATCGGTATAAAATTGAGGAAGTTATGATGTTACGAGTGAGCGAGCTGCCTGTGACAAGATGGCCGCCAGGTGAAGAGGTTGACCTCCATTGGCCAGCAGCGTGGATGAGATATCTAGCATTTATAGATATCTATGATTCCACCCCATAGACTGTAAAATATATATATATATATATATGAAGAGTTCAGATACAAAACCCTCTAAATGCCGTTTGAAATTTTCTTCTAAAATGACCATTTTTATCAAGCTTGTATATTTAAGTAAAGTAATTTCACTTAAATAACAATTAATAGGTAATCTTCATTGCCATTTAAGTGAAATTACTGAACTTAAATATACAAGCTTGATAAAAATGATAATTTTAGAAGAAAATTTCAAATGGCACTTAGAGGCTTTTGCATCTGAACTCTTCATATATATATACAATCCGCCCCTGTGAATGAGTCATGCTTTGTGTACTCACAGAGTCTAACATCACAATGTGTTGTAAATCTGTTAAAAAAATAAAAAAGAAAAAAGAAGAAAAAAAATAATAATTTCAAAATCATAAATCAACATTGGCCCAAATTTCCCAAATTTTGAAACCAGCCAATGACGTGAGGCGCATGAGCGAACGTCAACTGAAGTTGTGAGTAAGTCATGATAACAATTAAAAGCCCCGTTCACACCGCCAGCGTGATATCGCTTGTGGGCGTTTGTAGTGCTGTCGCTCTGATGTTATTGGTAGACTGCACGTCTGGCCATATCTATACAAAAGACCATCACAAGTGATATATACAACTATATAATTTTAATTTGACTGGGAATAAATGACTTTTAAGGCTAAAAGATGCTGTTGGGAGAGTGTTTTTATATTACCACAGCAGTGTTCAGTGGATTAAATCATTTACTAGATCAACGATCTATCAATGAACAAATTAAACTCACTCATACTGGCACAAATTATAAAAACGTCATTAGAATTGGACAAATAATCAATTCTCTTGTAAGAACACAAGATGGCTGCCAAGATGGCTGCTGGTTAGGAGGGCTGTGCAGTTCAGTTTTGCAATCTATTGAATATCTTAAAGATAACTTGACATCCAAGTGTTTGCTCATGATCTGTGCATTGATGTCCAAGTAATGCTTGGAATTGCAGTAATATTTTTGGGGGTTTTGACCTTCTAAGCACTTTTTTTACAACATGTGCTTGGGTAACCAGCAAAAGGCCTGTTAAATTACCTGAAGTCTCAGCAACTAACAATCAGCAATAATGGCTCCATGTTTGGCTATAGAAGTTAAACTGTCATTGAATGTTATGTCAGAGGAGCTTAGTAAAGTGCTAAAGCAACAGACAAGCTTAATGCGTCTGACTGGAGATATACAACAACTGAAAGCGATCAATAAAGAAAAGGATGAGAAGATAGATGCGTTGGAAAAAGAGTGGAGAACCTGGAACAGTAAAGAATGGATGATGTGGTGATATCTGGACTTGAGACTACTCATCGCACTTATGCACGGATAACAGCAGGGGACAATGAAGGAGAGGACGCACCACCAGGTGAATTACGCATTTGAGCAGCAAGTTATTGAGTTTTTCAGTAGTAAAGACATTTCATTGGACAAAAAAACTATAGCTGCTTGTTATACAGTTCCACAAAAAAGAATGCAAGTCTACAAAAACAGAAAAAGAGACCAAGCATCATTAATCGAGTTGTGGGTAGAAAATATAAAATTGAGTTATTAAAAGTTGCAAAAAAAACAAAAACTAAAGGGCACAGATGTGTTTGTGAATTAACACCTAAACAAGAAGAATGCAGAGATTGCTCATCAAGCAAGGATTCTGAAGAAAGAGAAAAAAAAAAATACAGGCTACATGGACTAGGAACTGTAAAATAATGATAAAACTAAATGGTCCACCGGAGCAGGCTAAAGTCGTGACTCTTGACCATCAATTGTGTCTCTAAGCTGGATAAATATAGATGAAAGATGAAGAAGGGTCAAAGATTGAACAGACATGAGTGACAGATTGTATAGAGATGAGTGACAGACACCTTAAGTGTTTTGATTTTGAAGATCACAAACTTTATGATGTAGAAAATGATAGACCCAGAGACCCATTTCTACTATAATTTTCAACAGGACTGTGATTACTCTGTATTACTCTGTATGACTGTATTACTAATTCACTTCAATAGCAGGAGTATGCAAAGTATATATTTTATTAAATTAAAAGTTACTTGCAAACTTTTAAGGAGAAATTTAGTGTGGTAGCGATTACTGAAACTTGGCTCAGTGAAGAAGAAAAATAAATGTTGGATGGTTTAGATGGATATCAAATGTTTGCTCAGACAGCGCAGTCTCATCCCAAGACATAATATAACTGACGTCTTGGGACGTCTTTTGACCATACGTCAACATCCGCCGTTTTAGGGTACTCTTAATCGTCGGTTAGATGACGTTATCGGATCCTAACCCTACCCCAGACCTAAACCTACCCCGCATGACCTAACTGACGTTAAAGGTAAAGCGTCAGTTATATGACGGCCTGGGATCACCATGTAACCGATGTTTAAGGGTACCCTAAAAAGGTGGATCTTGACGTATGGTCAAAAGACGTCCCAAGACGTCAGTTATATGACGTCTTGGGATGAGACTGTTAGCTCAGAATAGGTACAATAAAAGGGGAGGTGGTGTTGCATTGTTTGTAAGATCTAATTTAAAATGTAAAGTGATTGTTGACATTACATTTTCTATTGATAATCTGATGGAATGTTTATCTGTTGAAATTGAGGGCAATAAATCCAAAAATATGTCAATTAGTTGTGTTTATCGGACTTAGGTAAGGTACAGTTAAGGTACATACTGTAGAAAGATTAAAATCATTAAATGCATTAAAATCACTTTTAAGTTCAACTGATTGCATTTTAGGTAAATTTAAATTGATATATTTGAATTTATTTTGGCAAATTTTTATTTGTGTTTGAAACATTACATTTAATTAAGAATTAAGAGTACTGTTAATTTACATTACAAGTATATTTTAGTTCACATTAATTGCTTGTCAGTAGATTGAACAGTGCATTTTAAATACCGGGACAATTTCTGGAAGTCTCCACAGGTAAGGAGGCAACGGGAGCAATGGGCTTTTATACACATTTCTGCTGTAATCTTTTGACTTATTATTTTTTCTTTTTTTTTCTTTCAGTACTGTCACTTCAGGGTCAGGACAACTTTCTAATGTTGAAGCTTTCATGACTGGACCTGCAAACAGCTACTTCTTTCACAGCTCCATGAGGGGTAGGGTAAGTTTGAAAAAACAAAAAACAAAACTGCTGTCTTTTTCAAATGTATTACAACATTTCACATATTGACCTTTTGTAAATACTCCACTTTTTCAGTCTTTTCAGTTATACCTGTACATTGGAACGCTCAAACTCTTTCTTATCATATTATCAAACTGTGTGTAAAACACTTCACAATAAGCTAGTGCCCCACTTGCCATTTTTTGGCAGATTGTTATACAGTCATTTAAATACATTTGTGTAGTTGTTTGATAATCAGTGGAAGTTAGTGAGTGGCTGCTGGAAAAGTACTTTCTGACAAGATCCATTGTGTCTGAAATTTTCGACGGGAGTTGCAGTTACAATTTTTCACAAAAGAAATACAAAAGTATAAACTTTTCAAATTGCCTTTAAGTTAATCCTGAACAGATGACCAGAGTGTGTATAATGATAGACTTAGATTCAAATAATGCAAAACTCAAATACACTTTCTAATGCACTTGAAATACTCAAAGCTGCAGTAGGTAACTTTGAGAAAACTTTGACTTAGCCTGAAAATTTGCACAAGCACAACTTACCGTACGTTCACACCACCACCGGCGAGAGCGGCAAAATTCGCTCTCGACGCCCTCTCAACGATGCCGTGGAAAGGTTCGTGGACGCTCTCACGTCGGTCGGTCGTTATTTTTGCAGAAAATCACAGCATAGAATCAGGCCTGTTCCTCTCTCCACTGCCGTCGCTCCTCCTTTGCCTCCGCTCCTCAGTGAGAGATGCGACCGCTCTCACGTCCCTCTGCCTCGTCCTGCTCGCCACAATATTATTTCAGCAACATGACAAACCAGTGAATTAGCAGGTTTTAATTGTTGCTTTGCACAGTGCGTGACATTTTATCTACATTTAACACGGCTAGAGTTTTGACACCGAGTCAATGGACTCTGTCCAATTTGTTCTTTTACGCTTGTTTATCATCATATTTTTTTTTCTTCCTTTTTCCCGTCTTTTTTATGAGCAGGTGCCACTCGAGGAATTGGCAGTTTAGGTTGTTTCTCCGTTAGGGTTGGGTATCGGTTGGGTTTTATCCGATACCAGTACCTACTCGGTATTGGCCAATCTCCTCGCTATCAGCAGACATTCCGGGAGTCTTCCGCGTTTCGGTACCCAACCCTATTCTCTGCCATAGCGGTGCGTTGTGCAAGAGAGGGCTGTGATCAGCGCATACACAAGCGTGATTGACACAGCTAAGACATTCCTCCTGCCTTTGATTGGTTGTTTCTGACCGGGAGCGGTGTATTTCTGCAAATCACTGGGAGGAGCCAGAGGTGTTTGGTTTTTTTCACAGATTATCTGTCTTATAGTCTACTCTCAGGACATAATGACAGTTTTAACAAATATATATATATATATATATAAATATTTGTTTACAAAAGTTACCTACTGCAACTTTAACTTGCTTGATGAACATTAGCAGTTGTTCTAAAGCCGAAATCGATTTGTGAAGTTGTATTAGTCGAAATCGAAGTTATATTACATTTGTGTAGTTATACTGTACATACAGTGAAATTTACAGTAGAATTAACACCAATTCTTGAAAGAAAGAGAGCACAGAAATGAATTGTTAACAGGTTTATTGGAATCCCTTGATGTTTCTGCAAACACAAGTTATGGCAAGATTTGCAACAAGATATACAGTTTAGAGGAACTAATTGCATCTGTCTTTTGCTCATGTTGAATATTTCTGTACTGAGGAGATTTGCTAACAAGTATTGTACAAAGCACTGATTTAAAAAAAGGGAAAAATCAAAATGTGAACAGGAAATGCTCTTTTGTCACAAAAGAGATATGGCTTTGTCACTTCAAACAAATGTTTAACACCAGCCCCCCCCCCCCCCCCAACCGAAAGAAAAAAAAAAGTCAACATCCATTAACACATGATTGTTAATGTTCAAACACAAAATGAGATCAGTGGGTTTTCACTAGTAAGCTGCGTTTTATTCTGTTTCAACATATTGGTTACCTTGACCATGCTTTGCCCTTATTTTGCACAAAGGTGCTGCTTGGTGGTAATGTGATTTGTACAAATGCATAGTTTTACATGTTAGACTCCCCAAAAACACATCTAAAATGACTTATGTAGACTGTCAAAGCTGAAGTAACAAGCAACCCAAAAGCATCCAGTGGATCCACATTAACTTTAAGTATTTCAAGCTTCATCATTTGGTGATGGAGTAACGCAAATTGCAAACATGCTGCAACAAGCATGGCATTCTATATTCTCTTTAAGTTGTTGATAGACATCTGAATTCATATCAGGCTATTTAGGTTCAGTTGTGCTCCTTATCCTAGTTCTGTCTTTAGGTTTTTTGTACATATATGTTGATTTTTTTTGTATACTCTTTTAAAAAATCCATATATTTTTCATATACTGTATAAATAATAATAATATAGAGCATTGCTAGTTCGCAAGACATCAATAACTTGTGAAACACAGATGAAAACAAATATTTTCAGTGCAAAACTAAAGAGTTAATTTAGTTTTCTTGCTTGGTTTGACTTGTATGTATATATTTACCTTTTTTTTGGCAACCAAAAGTACTTTTCCTTTAAGCATAAAGTAGCTAACCTCTGAAGTGAGCTCTGTGTTGTGTTTGTTTTTAGATTTGTAGGCGAAGCGATGGGTAAGAAAAAAAAACCCACAAAAACATACAATTAGTTCACATCACTACAGACCAAAATGACAAGTTTAAAGTTAGTGACATTCAGGGAGTAAACAAGTTTCTCTTGCTGTGAAAAGTAAATAAATATGAAAAATAAAAATAAAAATGTGTATCCATAATGCTCTCTGGGTCTCGCTCTGGATTCTGATTGACTACGGTCAGTCAGTAACTGTTAAGGGGGAAAACGTGTGACATCCCGATGGCCGACAAATATTTAATTTAGAAATGTTCCATACAACTCAACATAATAATTATCTGATTTATTTACAATAGATACTGTAAAATGGTAACTTTAGTGAGAAAAAAGGCACAAGTTTCCCTTCTTAAATACACTGTAAACATCTTTTCAAAAAGCATGCACAAACATTTCACTTTACAAAAGATCTCATATACTCTTTTTAGACAAATTACTAATATATTGTGTCCAGCAAAATAGAATCTCTCAAAAATACTTCACATCCCATGAGCCTTTTAACATCTTTTCTTTTATATGTATATATCTGTGTATTTAAAAAAGGGAAAGGTTGGGGGGGAGGGACTACTGTAAATAACATTGCAACATCTAGTTTGAGGTCCATCAAAAACTTTCAACATACAGTGTATTGACAGGTCGGTGAAATAGGATTTGCCTGGGTACCACAGATTGATTGATTTGTTCTTTTTGAACTAATATAATTATGATTTGTGTCCTCCGACAGTCGCTTACCACCAACCAGCTACATCACAAAGGCAAACATTAAAAGTTCTTGGACCTTTCCAGTTCACAAACCTTCCATACTGACCCCCACCCCCCACCCAAAGCACATAACATAACCAACACAATAGCAGAACATCTAATATACCAAATATCACATTATCGTGTCTGTGCAAATCAAAATCAGCAAATCAAAAACCAACAATGCCCTCTCAAAAATCAAGCTTTCTTGTGGATTTAGGAAATTTTAGAGAAACAGAAAAACAAATACACACACACACACACACACAAATGCACAAAAACGCACACAAACCTTCAGCTCACAGCATTTGAGAACTAGCGGTACCTCTTTTGATTCCTTCTGTAGCACAGTGGGGTTATGAAACATGAAACGGAGGTCCACATTCCTTTTTTAAATACAATTCACTCAAGTAATCTCAAGTTGACTGGTATTTTCCCAAAATAGCCAGGTTTTAATTGCAGGGTGGTTTAAATCAGAAACTTCCTATGTACAACATTTGAAAAATATGTCTACAAGCCACAATTATAATCATAAGATACACATATATTGTGTTTGTGAGCAGGTTACTGTTATTGTTGTTTACTAATATGAAAGCTGTATGCTTCAAAAAAGCTGATTAATCACATACGGTATCTAACTGTACATGTGCTGCTACTGAAAATCCAGAAGCACCTTGTTAGAAAATGGCTTCTAGCTGGATTGATTCTTTGAAACAACAACTAAAAAAAAAAACTTTACAATCGTATAAAACGCTCTTCTCCTCTGGGACTGTAAATTACTACTGGGTTTTCCTTAACGTCAAAAGGGAGCTGGTTTAGTAACAGCTTAGGTACAATTGACTAAATTTGCTACAGTCCTAGCTCGCACACAAAATGTGGCATGTTTGTCTGTGTGATCTTAATTTTTTACAAGATGAGCCATAATATTTGCTATAATATCCAAGAGCTGCCATTTTTCAGCGTATCAATTATCGGGCCACCACAGCACTCCATCAGCGTGGCCAGTTCTCTCCATGTAAACACTTCAAGTCAGCAAAATATACATTTGATGCCATTTGCAGATAAATTTAGATTCAATTCTTTCTACAATAACTTTTATGCACCAATTACGATTCAGCTTAATTTAATGTTTTGTAGCCCTTGATTATGTCCTTTCTCAATTCGTCTTGCAAACAATTTAATCTTCCGTGTCTTGAAAGTGATTTGTTTGGGGACAGCTACAACGAGCAGTTTTGTTACTGAATCTCTCATTTTATGAGATTTACATAATGCAATGGCATTTACTGGCAGATTGACAGGTCTGGGAGTCAAGGATATGTCTAGTATGTGGGCCCATATTACTGTGTGTGTGTGTGATGTATTCACATGTGACTGTGCACTATAGCTTTACCAAAGAATATGGCTTCATATCCATATAGAACATTGTCAGCATTGTCTTTGGGGGTACGAAACGCTCAGTCACATGAAATATGAGTTCTTCTCTGTTGGCCGGGTACAGAGATCACTCTTTGCCATCCCTCACTACGCAAGCCTTATATGGCTTTAAACCAAGCCTCGCGTTACGCCTTCCTTTAAGCATAGCGGGCTTGCTCTTTTTCGCTCTCTGAGGGCTGGGAGTCCTCTTGTTTTTTCTCTCATTCGATCCTTCATTTTTCCCTCCTTTTGCAAGCTTTCAGTCATTTCTTGTGAAAGTAGAGGACGTTTGTTAGGCCTGACTCCACCTTTGGTATCTGGTCACTGATAATTTCCACCAACATCTCGGGAAACTCAACTTTTAGAGCCTGGGATTCACGGAAAGTGTAGAAACAAAAGTCCAACAGGCTCCCCACAAGCTGTAAAGAGAGAGAGGGCACTTCAGTCAATGGAACTGTCATATTTAATTCAAGATGACAGTGCTCATCATTAATGTCCTGTTGAAACATGAGTCTGAGTAAACATATATTGATGAAAAGACAGTAGAGCAGCTGAGATCATTCATGGATGCTCCGTCTAACTGACCAAAGCGCTTTGAGGCAGAACTTGTTTCTCTTCATCTTGCAAAATAATAAATTAACACTGCTGTCAAGTGTTCTTCACCCTCAAGTGCAATTCAAAGCGTCTTTTCCAGTACTTTTGTGTTCCATTACAAAATGTTGAGCTGGCAGCAATGCAGAAAGTGATTAGAAATGAACAGCTCTCAGAAATGAACTGCAGCTCTCATCTCTCAGTGTCAACATGAAAGATGGCAGTTTCATTTGAATACACACTTGACATAACTCTTTAATAGTCTGTAATATTAATATTAAAAGAGATATCTGTAATATACTGTGATAAAGCTGTCATATTTTGACATGAATATTTTTCAGCTTCTAATCACATAAACATTTGTGAGTCACTTCTTGAGGATGCATACATATTAGCTTGTTCTATTTTTTTTTTTACACATATTTGAGGTATTTGATTTAAATAAGAACATATTTTGTATTTAGATGTTAATTTTTTGGCACTTACAACAGATACCATTAAAATAAAGCTGATGATTACTACTAGAAACAAATTCTATAAACTCTGTCCCTTTTATTAACATCTGGGGTTTTCAAACTGAAGTCCAGGGACCCTAAGGATGTTAACTTAGGATGTTAAATACGTTTAGTGCAAAAATGTATATTGTCATAAATCATGAGCTTAATTACAACCTAATTTATGTTTAATGATAGCCTTAAAAACAAAGCTTAAATATATTACATTTAATAATGGGTAGACAAAAAGATAGTCAACTTAATACAAAAAAAAAAAAAAAAATCAGGATAATGATTTAATTTATTGTGGCTTTAGTGCAAAGATGCAAATGCTGATTATTTAGTTTTGGCATCAACATGTTTTTTTTTTTTTTAATAATCTATTGCTTAGTATTTTTCTCACACAGATCTTTATTCAAGAACATATAAAACGAACTATGCTTTAAAAAATTGTAAAATCCCTATTTTATATAATGTGTCATGCTCAAATCAGGAACCTTAAAACTGCTTTGCTTGAACGTTAATTAAAAATAAAATAAGCATTATTATGACAGACCTTCTGGAAATCAGATGAGATATTTCTTACATGACAGGGATTAGTTTAGGAAGGTATAATTAGGTTTTCTAGATGTGTATGAGTGCCTCTTAAGGTAAAAGTTGTGAGAAACCAATGAGCTTAAAAAACGTACTCTGTATAATTAGAGCAGATTTGCACCTGACTTTGATCTATTAGCCAATAACAGGGGAGTGTTTCGACTTACTTCATGCATGGCGTCCAATAGCTTGGTGAGCTGGAAGAAGCGCTGCCATGTCTGGCCGGAATTGTTAGTGGCTTTCCCAACTGAGCGGCGAAGCTCCTTGATGTAATTCACCCGCATCTCTTCAAATGCCCCTTGGTTCTTCAGACCATCTTTGGGCACTGTCAGTAAAAAAAAGGATGTCACTTTGTAACAGTGGCAAGTACTTGCTATATGAAAGTGAAAGTGACATGAAGGCCATGTATGGTAACCCACTGAATTAGTTCTCTGCATTGAACCCATCCAAGTTAGTGCACACACATTAGGAGTAGTGAACACACAAACACACACAGCTATGGGAATCCATTTTTCTTTTTGAGGGTAAGTTGCCTTGCTCTATTCATTTCCTACCGAATTTGAGAATCAAACCCGCAATCTTTGGGTTAACAGTCCGACTCTCTAACCATTTGGCCACGACTGCCCCAAAGTGAGAGTAGTGCGTAAAACAGCATCTGTCTCTATATGTCAGTCTCTCTATTCATCCTTCCATCTAATCTGTCTGTCTCGCAGTCTGCCTTCTCAGGTGATTAATGTTCCCTTGTGTAAAGTTATTCAGGATTAACTCAAAGTACTAAAAAGTACTTTCACTTTTGGCAGATGAGAGATATAATCTCATGCAGGTTGAAGGGAGTAATTCTCTCCTATCGTGTAGAGAACAAGTGCACCCATGGCCAACAGCCAACCATGTGAAATGACATTCAGCTGTAAAAGAAACGGCTCGTCCTCACCCTCTTTCTACCCAACAACATGCCAATAACGTCTATTCTGATCAAATTAGATTTGTTGAACCCCATTGTTTCATTTCTGTTTGTCTCAAAGTGATTTTGATAATAACAAGACGTTTTTACAGACAAAGCAGTGTAAACTAAAAAAGCTATTACCTAGAAGCACCGTAAGGTTGTAGTGATAATTATGGAAATGATTAAAATGCAAGAACTAACATCATTTAATAATACTCAGTGTTGGCCTAAGGCACAAACATGTTCCCAATTCTTAGCACGGAACTAACTAAAAAGATTACACATTTTGTTAAAGGTCCCCTGACATGGGGTTATTGTATTCTTTTATAATGTTTCCTGGGTTGCCCTGTTTAGATCAAAAATAGTCATAATTTAGAAATAAAAGGCATTTTCCTAGCCTGATGTTATCCTCTGATTTGAACGCTCTGTTTGAACGGTCATGTCTGATGTGGGATTCAGTGTTGGCTGACATGCTTGCATATGAAATAGCTCCGTATTATATGTGAAACTCTCTCAAATACTTTTACTACAGCTATTATATGTTTTTACTATTACAGCTATCGAGAAGTTTTTAAAGAATTTAGATCTATTCCATCACATAAAATGTCACCGTGATGAGCATTGAGCAAGTAGATGACGAGCGAATGAAGATCTTACCATTGCAACGCAGTTTCTGCACTCTCTCTCTAATGCTTTCACCAATGCAAACACGATGATGTACATACAATAAGAGTTTCGTTGTGCAGTGTAACGTGCGTCATTGATTTCATAACGATTTTTCCAGATAAACTCGCTCTGTGTGGAAAGATTGTTATTTGATGCTTTCTGCATACAATTTGAATAATATTATTTTCATCCTACTAAAAGAAACAATGTGAAGTTGATATTTTAGTCACTGGCTTGACTTATGAATAAACAGTATTGAATCATTTTGAGAAGATTACCTGTCTGAACTTGAACAATTTAGATACACATCACAAATTGTTGCTCGATCGATTTATTTTCAGACGTTCATCGAGGCCAGTTCTGTATTAGCCCAAGTTAAGGAAACAGTCGTCGGTCAAATGTTTGGACCATAGAAAACTTTAGGAAGTTGTTTCGCCGCATTTCCAGAGAAAATAAAATTAACCCATTTCTTCAGAGGCTCGGATGAAGGAACTAAAAAATACTTTTGTGTTCATTTGTACATCCGAACACATTCATTTTCTCAAAGGCAGAGAAAGATAGCCAAAGCTCGGTTTACACGAAACAAGTGAGTATTATAACGTTTACGAATTGCGAAAAGCCACATTAACTTTTGTAAAAGTTTGTATTATTGATATTAATTATTCAATTAATTTGTTGAAATAAAAAGTGTTGTGGATTGAGCTAAACTAATATTAATTTAACTTAAAATTTGTAATTAAAAGCTTAAAAGGGTTACTTAATTTTATATTTTGTTGTATAATGCAAAGAAATGACATAACAAAAAACAGCTGTCCAAATACTTTGCAATACACGGTGTGATTGTTGATGAAAATGTAAGATTCACTCAACAAAAGACTTTTGTCAAGGAAATTAACACTGAGCACAATACCATCACACACTGACTCTGTGAATTTTAGACATTTTGCTTTTTGCACTAAAGCATCATTTGAGAAAATATTTATTTCCTAATGTCTGGGTCAACCACAAGCCAAAAAAAAAAAAAAAAGCTTAAATGGACTTTACAAAAAAAAGAGGCAAAAAACAGGAGAGGATTTAGTTTAGTGACTTACTCTTTAGCAGGTCAACACTACCATTGCAAATAAGGTCATGTGAGAGCCTGCAGGGCTTCTGAAACCTTAGCCAAGGTCAAATAATAACAGTCAGTCTCTCGTCTCTCTCTCTCTCTCTCTCTCTCTCTCTCTCTCTCTCTCTCTCTCTCTCTCTCTCTCTCTCTCTCTCTCAAAATGCAAACGCAAAAATGTCGATAACACATTAAAATGAGCACAAATAAATTTCTTAAAATGCTGCAATATTAAAAAAATGCAATTAAGCTGTAATCATATCATAATATTACATGTACACAATACAACAGCATTAATAGAAACAAAACATTTAAATGTACAGTAGATTATAACGATGCAGTCTAATCCACAATGATTTGTGTAATGGGTTGATTTTCCAGTGAAATACAAATACCAGTTTATTTATAAAACAAACTAGCTCTTCCCAGCAGATTTTATACAGGTTGAACAGCAGAGCATATGTCATTATTACCCCTTATAACAGTAATGACATACATAAGCTCCATCAAGGATGTAATCCGCAAAGGACATCTACGTTTTTTTTTATTTTTTATTTTTTATGTTTATTTTGTATCAGGAAAAATTTTGTATAACGAATCGCTCCATCAAAACCCTCAGCTCTTCACTTCAGCCGTTCTCTCTCCTTTCATGAAGCTCTCTTTTTGGAGAGAAAAATACCAGCTCTTGGAGCAGTGCCCATCTCCTGACTGGATTTTATTAAGTACAGCAGGGCTTTCTGGAAAGGCTCCAAGGGATCAGCAAGTGATTGTGGATCCCAAAATCTATCCTGTACGAGAATTCAGAACTCAAACTTTACCTCAGTTTCATATGCTGTTAGCCATGGATGCGTCTACCTGATCTGAGTATGTGTCCTGATCTTGTACACTATATGAGAGCTAACCTGATCTAGCATCCAAAAGGCTGTATATTATATTATATTATATTATATTATAATAAGGTTCATTAGTTAACATTAGTTAACTACATTAGTTAACATGTACAATATGTGAACAATACTTCTTCAGCATTTATTAATCTTAGTTAATATTAACTCCAACATTTACTAATACGTTATTAAAATCAAAGGTTGTATTAGTTAACATTAGTTAATGGACTGTTAACTAACATGAACGCACAATGAACAGCTGTATTTGTATTAACTAACATTAACAAAGATTAATAAACACTGTAACTAATAAATTTCTCATTGTTAGTTCATGTTAGTTAATGCATTTACTAATGTTAACTAATGAACCTTATTGTAAAGTATTACCATATTATATTATAGACCCTTTTACAGTTAGTAAACATGGTGATGTTTTTTTGTGGGCGGAGCTTAGGTGGAGGCAGAAAGATCCCTTTGGCCGCTTAACTAACGCTAGTTAGCAAGGATTGTTAGCTTTTTTTTTAACAATGACTGGAGAAAATCCGATATTATCTTAATGTGTAAGGTCACTCAGTGTCCAGGACCGCGATTGTTATTTCCAAAAGTTATCTTTAACGGACGTGACCAGATTGGCCGACCTGTAGCCGCCTACACGCTCACTCAATGCATGGATGATCTGACAGGATTAACATACGTTACCTCGGTTGAGTGGCCTGACTTCTACACCTACCTTATAGAGAAACCGATCGTAAATAGAAACTGAGGGCATATAAATCTTTAGATGCCTATAACTATATGGTCCTGTACAAGACTTGTGTGTACGATCCGCAGTTCTGCCGAGCCAGCGCCGAGACCACGACAATGTAAAGAGTGACATTACGGTGCGATTTTAATGATGTGAATATTTTCTAGAAATAAAAGTTCCAGATACAACATATTCATTTTTCATCAATTCTTGCACCAAACAACACAACAAGATGACATTTAATAATTGTAACAATTATTTAAGCTCCTTATTATGTAGCCGAATCTGTGCTGTTTTGTATTGGCCACCTCCAGTTTTCACTTTGTTTTGCCTCCAGCTAGCGCCGTGACGTAACTGTGATGTCGGCGCAAAAGGGGTCTATATTAATTATTAATTATTCTTACTCTTACTATGTCCTCATTATATATATATTGTCAATGTTACTATAGCTAATATGTATGGAACACTTTTTATACAGTATTATGAATACGCCTAAATATGATTTCAGCCACGCATGCTATAAGAAAATGAGAAGTGTTTACAATTTGTCTCAATTAATGTGATCAAACAAATGTCTCTTATCTCGCACACCCACGTACTCAGTTTGGGTACTAAAGGTAAACGTGGCGAGAGAAGACATCCATTCATTCATTCATTCATTCAAGCGTTTGCTTATTTCCCTCTGTTGGCTGGCTCTCTGTTTGAAACACATGTGTAAGATGTGCACACAATCTCACCTGTGCTGAGCAGCAACAGGACCTTCATGGCAAGGAACTCCTCATAAGTTAGCTGTAGACGGACAAACTCCTGGCTCACTTGCCGCATGCCCACACACAGATCAAACATGGCTGACTGCCGCATACGTTCCCTGGGAGAGAAATTGAGAGGATCTGTAGTAAACAACCTCATTGTCACATTGTCAAAAATTGTTATGAAAATAGTTTAATACCTAATATATAAAAGCTGTTTTCAACATGGATAATAATAAGAAATATTTCCTGAACAGCAAAACAGCATATCAGAATGATTTCTAATGTGAGGAGTAGGGATGCTGCCGTTACCGGATTTCACTTTAATCGTAAAGACTATGCTACACCGAGTGTTCTGCACGGAACGGAAATTTAGCAACTTACAACAGCGATGCACCAGCTTAAAGTGACTAAGCGGCAATGCTCTGTTTCCCTCGAAAAAAAAAAACGCCTTAAGTCAGGAGTGTGGGAGCATTTTGGGTACACAAAGAATACAAGGGTGTGATTGAAGAAGATGGATCACCTGTCTGCAAAACTTGCCGTAAAAAAGTTTCCGTTTATTATTTTCGTCAACAACATTTTTTTTTTTTTTTTCACAGACGAAAACGAGACGATAACTAAATAAAACTTAGTTTTGAATGACAAAATCCCATGAAGAAGGCTTCAATAGATCACAGAATTAATCCATCACAATCTATTTTACTTACAACTTTTGGTTTCATCTTGACACTTTCTTGACTGGTTAATAATTGACTTGATAGATTTGATGATCTGCCAGTTTGTTTGGCTATAGGTGTCTGTCTTTCTGCATACCTGACTAGGTGTATTCCAAAGCCGTCTGTCTATTCTGTGGTCGGATTTGTCTGCCAGAACTGATTCTGTCTTCCCATTCTTCCATTTTTATTTAATATTCTAACCTTCTGTTTTCAGATGGAATGTGAAAATAGTTTCAGCAGCTGTCAGAATCTCAGTTTATGGTTTTGTTACAATTGCTTTTCATATTATTTCTTTTATTTACACCATACACATTCTCTAATAAATGATCGATTTTGTTGAGAACGATAGAAAGAAAAATGGCTTTTATTGTGACTCTTCTTTCAGTTGCTATGGAGAGGTTTTTTTTGTTTGTTTGTTTTTTAAAGTGATGTTAATGAATATTATGATAGGTGTGAAAGTTGGAAGCAGGGTGCATACACAGCAGATCACCGAAAAATTTTACAATTTCAATCAATTTATATTTCTGGCTCCTTTTGACATACTTTTAGAGGACACTGAAAAGTGTTACTACTCGATACCTGGAAACTTTTGTTTCAAGGTAGACATGCAATGTTTTCAATCAATATCTTTAAAGGGCACTGCTGTGCTAGTCCTGCTGTACTTTTCAGCTAGTTTTGATTCAGGACCTAGATTGGACTAAAATGTCCTTAAAACCATGTAATAATAAAACAATGAACTACACACACACACACACACACATAGTATGGTTTGTCAGGAGGTTAAAATGAGTTCAAATGCAACGTTTTGGGACTGTGCTGAAGGACTGATAATTGTTCAAGATTCAAAGCAACAGAGCTCGTTCAGAACCGTGTCAGCATGCCAAAAAATATGCGTGACTGTTTGTCATCAGGGAGTGTGGAAGTCGCACATAAGGTGCTGAGCATATTTTCATATAGTCATGCATGTATTCATGCCAATTAATTCAGTAAAGACAACTTTTCCCCTAAGTTCTTTCCAAGTCACTTGGCAAATACAATGAAGTACCCAAAATTACCTGCAGGGGTCACTGTGCTCTATTTTTCCTCATCTCCCACTGCACTCAATAAATGGACGTTTAGCTTTGAAAAGCACACAGTCACACTCTTTCCACTCAACACTTCTTGTTGATTGTGCTGATTATGGGCCCAATTGACCTAACTCTGTCTTGATAAAATGTTATCAAGAAACGTTTATAGGGAAAATTTATTTCCTAGATGAGTAATTGAGGTTTGAGGTCTTAGTCTTCGGCCTGCTAGGAACATGCTTATTGCGTTTATCATTTTGTATTATTAACTTATCTTGCGTAACTTGAAACACCAAATTCCATAGACAGGATTAATCTAAAGCCAATTGTTGTCTGTGTGTTGTAGTTTATTGAAAACAAGTAGGGCTGCAACTAACGATTATTTTGATAATTGATTAATCAGGCGATTATTTTTTCGATTAATTTCTATTTTTAATTTTTTTTTTTGTTTATTATAACTAAATAAAACCCTAAATTAGGGTTGTGGCGAGCAGGACGAGGCCTTAATGATCTGATAATCACTCTTCGGTGTGTTAAACAATCTACTTAAAGATAACTTAAATAATTATTAAATTATATATATATACACGATTTTCATAATCGATTATAATCGATTTTTTCGATTAGTTGTTGCAGCCCTAAAAACAAGGGTTTTTTTAGTTTTTTTTTTTTTTTTTTACTTTGTTTGAATATTATGGAAATCAACATCTCTAAATGAGGTAAAATGCATTGAGTGAATTAACTTACTCGTTGAAGACGAGGTCAGGGGCGAAGTAGAGCATTTGGGCGTTGGTGTGTTTGTAGGATCTCCAGCTGAGGGAAAAGGAGGAGAGACACATCCAGGAATACTGGATCAGCGTGATTTGGTCCTCAATGGGTAGACTGCGGAAACCTGGGGGGGAGGGAGGACAAGTTAACACAGAGCAAAGAGACATATGGGACACTCGGGGGCATGACTTGCCCTGAAGCAGAGCTAATATTAAGCCATAACTGTAGGCAGTAAGCAACAAAATAGAATCTACTATCCTGTGCTTTTGTTCACAAAAAAATAAAATAACACAGCTCTTTGTAAAGTTATATAATTCTATGAGCATTTGTTATATGGAAAAAGCTGTTTCAAAAATATAACATTTTGTGTTCCACAGAGAAATTATAGCATAAGGGTTTAGAATGATATGAGGATGAGTGAATAATGATAGAACTGTTCTTTTAAAAGTGACATAGTGGATGTGGATAATAACATTGTTTGGCAAGAGAAAGTTAAGTCTTATTCACATATATAGTTAATGCAATGCGTGTGGCTGTTGCGAATTTAAAAGTTGTTTGAAACTTTTAATTTGTTCACAAATTAAAAAGTCGTAAAGTGCACTCGCCACAATCAGATTTACATGAATCACTGAAGGTTTCCACTCATTGTCCTGTTGTCAAAGACTGTTACCAACACTGCAGACTGGAGTCTTGCCAAGATTCACATTGAGAGCTGTGAAGTCACCAACAAGTTATAATTTTAGCCACAGGAGGACACGCTACAGTATAAATTTATCAGTGAAGCATAGACTATGTTTGGCTTGTCTGCAATATGCAAATTCAATGTAGTATTTATTTTTTACAGCAACATTCCAGGCAATCTCTAAGCGTCCCTTGTGTTATCCTTTTTTTTTTTAGAAATGATAATTTTCTTACATTATCATTTTATAAACTTAAATTTTTTGTCAATGACATTTTCACAGATAGAAATGCACCATATTTTTTTCCCCCCATCACATTCTCGTCCTTATCAGGTGTTTTTGACTCCTAAAGTGGTTAAGGAACAATGTGGATATAGAACAAAATAACTAATAATGAACATCTGCAAGTCATCACTTGTAGATTGGCGTGAGTGTGTGATGCATTGACTGCCCAAAGCCTGCCTGGTAAGACTTTGAAAGTCAGTGAGCCAGTTTGCCCTGGTGTGTTTTCAGCCTTCTATTTATATATCCGGATATACTGTAGCAAGCAGACACCCTGGTATCAAATAATTGCAATACAGCAAATGACCGTCTTGTAGCAAGGTACCTTGAAAACTTAATTTGACTATAAGATTTTTAATATGAGTTGCATGGGATGTTTTATTCTATAATATAGTGCGATTTATGCAACATATGGTAGTGATTCTCAATCGATTACTGTTACCACAGACGAAATCAACCTTTGATTCCTCTATATGATAAGGCAACCTACATTTGACATGGTTTTAAAAATTAACTCGGAAGCTTGTGGACATACACTACCATTCAAAAGTTTGTCAGTAAGATTTTTTTTTTATTTTATTTTTTTATAAATTTACATTTATATTATTCAGAAAGTATGCATTAAATTGATCAAAAGTGACAGTAAAGATGTTATTAAAAAAACAAATAAATGTGGTTCTTTCTAGCTTTCTATTTATCAGAGAATCCTGAAATAAATGTGTGATGAAGACGAGCCCACCAGCTCGTCTTCGGGGAGAAATGTGTGTCCGTTTGGATGTAAAAGGATGGCGCACTCGCAGAAGCACTTCGTGCAAGGTGGAATTTATTTTACAGTGCCAATAAGAAGACTGTCCACAGTGAAATATATCTATACAGGTGCGTACAAAAAGAAAAGGGAAGATCCCTTAAAAAGTACAAAAATAACAAAATAAAGATGAAAACTCTTTTAAATAAAATGTATCTACCACACACCAAAGGGTTTCGTTTGCTTGAGGCACCACAGTTGCACTCTCGCTTCCGACTTGGTTAACAAGTCCAGACTTCAGGTTTGGCTTGGTTTAAATAGGCCAAACCCCGCCCCTTTTTGGGCCACACCAATTTCAGTAACATCTTACATTCACTACACACCAATACTGCATCTATTGGATTATCCATAATAATCCATACTAATTAATTCCCTATAAATATATACACATACATACACATACACACATAATAACACATAATTTCTTCATTTAAATACATACACGAACACCTATCCACACTATACAATGGTTTCGTCAGCTTCCGGTTTTGATGCGCCGACGTGGCACGGCCATGCCGTCATAAACGACCACCGCTCGCTCGTTCGGTTTGGATTCCCGGCCGGAAGACTGACTACGCCCACACAGACAAACAACACGAACGAAACGACACAACAGTGCAATGTAAGTGTATGAAATGACTGGGGAATGAATATGGAAAGGAGATTGGAGAAATGGGATGAATGTCCATGTGCTATCATAATCGCGTGTGCACCCGCTTCTATGATAGCGGCAATGATGAGAAGGAACAAGATGTAGATGAATGGAGTATTTAAGGGTGTATATATGTGAGCGTGCCAGTGCTGCTTCCCCAGCGGTAGCAGCTAAGGTGACTTTATCACATCACCTTCCCCCTCTCCTAGCCGCGGACTGGCCGGAAACCTGGACAGGTAGTCGGCTACTACGTTGAGTCTGCCCGGTCTGTGTCGTATCTTAAAGCGGTATGGTTGTAGGGCGAGGTACCACCGTGTGACTCTGGCATTGTGGTCCTTCATAGACTGAATCCAAGTTAGGGCCCGGTGGTCGGTTTCTAGATCAAACTCTCGACCAAGGAGATAGTAGCGCAAACTGTCCAGGGACCACTTGATGGCGAGACCTTCCTTCTCCACCGCTGAATATCTAGTTTCCCTGGGCAGTAGCTTACGGCTGAGGTAAACGACTGGTCTCTCTTCTCCAGCGCTTCCCTGGGCTAGGACCGCACCAATCCCCATTGCGGACGCGTCTACTTGCACTAAGAACCTCTGAGAAAAGTTTGGACTCTGCAGGACTGGGCTGGAGCACATCTTGTCTTTTAATGTAGTGAACGCTGTCTCACACTCATCGGTCCATGGAATAGGGTTCTTCACCAGTTTTGACAACAAGTTGGTCAGGGGGACCGCAATGGAGGCAAAGTTTGGTACAAATCTCCTGTACCAGCCCACCAGTCCGAGAAATGACCTCACTTCTTTCTTCGTCTTTGGGTTTGGGCTCCTTCGGATTGCCTCCACCTTGTCAATCTGTGGTCTCAGTTGTCCATTGCCCAGGTGATACCCAAGGTAGTTTGCCTCCTGCTTTGCCCACTCACATTTTGAAATGTTTAATGTCAATCCTGCTTCCTCTATCCTCTTTAAGGTTTTTTGGAGGTGTTGAAGATGCTCTGCCCAAGAGTTGCTATGGATTACCACATCATCCAGATATGCCGCAGACCAGTCCTCACAGCCTTGAAGGACTCGGTCCATCAGCCTCTGGAAGGTGGCTGGTGCCCCGTGCAGACCAAAAGGAAGGACTGTGAATTGATATAGTCCTAGTGGTGTTCGGAATGCAGAGTATGGTCTGGACTGAGGGTTGAGGGGTACTTGCCAGTATCCCTTACACAAGTCTAAAGTGGTGATGTACTGGGCTCTTCCAATTTTCTCCAACAGATCATCTATCCTAGGCATGGGGTATGCATCGAATTTAGATTGGGCGTTGAGCTTGCGAAAATCGATGCAGACACGTAGGGATCCATCCTTCTTGGGTATGATCACCACCGGGCTGCTCCATTCGCTTGTTGAAGGTTCTATCACTCCTAGCTCCTTCATCACCTTAATCTCTTCCTTTAAGGGTTCCACCAGCCTCTCAGGCACCCGGTAAGGACGTTGACGTGATGGTGTCGGATCGGAAAGGTGGATAGTATGTTGGGTTAGCTCCGTCCGTCCAGGCCTCTGACAGAACAAAGCAGGAAACTGGTTCAGGAGGTGCTGCAGCTCTTTTCTCCTGGAGTCTTCTAGGTGCGATAGATTCACCACAGACGGCTGCCTCTTTGCATCCTCTGATTCCTCTTCCCCCTCCACCTTCCTCACCAGAAGAGATGTTTCCGGTCCCTTACCGGGTGGCTCCTTCCACTCCTTCAACAGGTTCACATGGTAGGTCTGCCTGGTCTTGCCCTTGTCCGGATGATAAACTTCATATGTAAGTGGCCCCATCTTGCGTAGAATGCTGTAGGGTCCTTGCCATTTAGCCAGTAGCTTGCTCGTTGAAGTTGGCAACAGGAGTAATACCTTCTGCCCTGGTTGGAATTGTCTTAGCCTGGCATGTTGGTCATACCATCTTTTCTGTGCTCGTTGTTTTCCCTGTAGGTTCTCTTTGGCTTGTTCTCTGTACTGCTCCAGACGATCTCGCATCTCTAGAACATACTGTACGATCCCGCCTTTCTCCTCCATCTTGGAGGCAGGTTTCTCCTCCCAGCCTTTCTTCAGCAGGTCCAGAGGTCCTTGTACCTGCCATCCGTAGAGGAGCTCAAACGGTGAGAATCCCGTTGAGGCTTGGGGTACCTCTCTGTAGGCAAAGAGAACAAATGGTAACCACTTGTCCCAGTCTCGTCCTGTGTCTGCCACAAACTTCCGCAACATGTTCTTAAGGGTTTGGTTGAACCTCTCCACTAAACCGTCCGTCTGAGGGTGGTATGGAGTTGTTCGAATGGCTTTTATGCCCAGCTGCTTGTTCAGCTGCCCCATCAGTTGTGATGTAAAGTTTGTACCCTGGTCTGTCAGTATCTCCTCAGGTATGCCGACCCTGGAAAAGAGTTGAACCAGGGCATGGATGATCTTTGTTGTGGTGATAGAACGGAGTGGGAAGGCCTCAGGATACCTTGTGGCGTAGTCGCTGACTACCAGGATGTAGCGATGTCCAGCACTGCTCTTTTCCAATGGTCCCACAATGTCCATGGCGATCCGTCTAAAAGGTGCAGAGATGATAGGGAGGGGTTGCAGGGGTGCTCTGCCCCGCTGGGACACAGCACTCGTCTGTTGGCAGATAGGACATGTGTTGCAGTACGTTTTTACATCAGTATATAGTGTGGGCCAGTAAAAGCGTGAGCTAATACGTGCATATGTTTTCTGTTGGCCCAGGTGGCCAGCCCATGGAACAGTGTGTGCAAGGTGCAGAACAAGATGACGACAACAAGATGGTACAATCAGACGATTCACCTCATTCATTCGCACATACAACACATCATTCACGACTACATATTCTTCTTTGCACAGATTCAAATTCTTTCCACACTCAGCTTTGACAAACAGGGGTTTTAAAGTTTCATCGTTCCTTTGGAGTTGTGCTATGTTCCCTGGGACCTTCCAGCCATTAACTTCTAGACCCTCCCCCGAGGCCTCAGAGGCTGGGGTACCCAGGTACTTTGCAAGTCGCCTTTGGCGCCGTGACTTTTTAGGGCCTTTAGTCCCGCCCTGTACCAGACTACTATCGAAATCTGGCAGTGGCTGCAGACCTGACCTGGCTTGAGCTCGCGTAAGAGCAGGACATGACAAATTAACAGTGGCAAATGAATGTTCAGCGTCCTTAATGGTGGATTGCAAAAGTTCATATAACACTGGCAAGTCTCTTCCTAGAATCATATCAGCTGGTAAATTGTCCACTATGGCAACATTCAGCAAGTACATTTGATTCTGTACCTCTACCATTATCTCAGCCCGGGGATACTGCTTTACATCCCCATGCACACATTGAACAGAGGTAGTGTTCACATAATTGACATTATTTACAAAGCATGATTTCAACATTGACAGAGAACTTCCAGTATCTAAGAGTGCTTTTAGGGCATGTCCATTAGCAGTCACATCATATCCATTCTGACCCTCTTCCCCAGACACAATCTCACAGTCCCCTTCTCTAGGCACATAACAAAAGCCTGTGAGCTTCGCTTTGCGAGCGGGACACACAGCTGCCTTGTGGCCCGGCTGTTGGCAGTAAAAGCAAAGCCATTCTTTGGCCATTGACTTTGGACCTTGTCCCTGATCAGGAAGTCCAACACAGCCCCTCTCAGACCCAGTGTTATGTGAAACGCCACGTACAGTACCTTTGAGTGGTTGAGTACGAAGACTGCCGCGATGAGCATTCAGGTATTGCTGAGCCAACTTTGCTGCCGCCAATCCTGACCTCGGCTCGTGCTCTCTTACCCAGGTGCGTGCATCATAGGGTAGCACCCGAAGAAACTGCTCCAGGATGATGACCTCTCCGATCTCCTCTTTGGAGTGCTCCTCCGGTCGCACCCACCGCCTGTACAGATTCTTTAGCCGCTGGTAAGTCTCTGTCGGTGACTCTGTCGCTGGGACTGTAGATGATCGGAAGCGCTGGCGATAGGTCTCTGGAGATATATTAAACTTCTCTAGCAGTGCTTCCCTCAGTTCAGTGTAGACCTCAGCCTGCTCCTCGTCCATTGCAAGGTATGCTTCCAGTGCTCGCCCTGTCAGCAACGGGACCAGACGGTAGCTCCACTCCTCCTCGGGCCACCTCCAGGTCCTGGCCAGCCGCTCGAACCGCTGAAGATAATTCTCCAAGTCTTCCCCCTCCTGGAAGCTCGGCATTTTTGGATCAGCCCACTGCATTGGTTCTCTCTGTGCCGCGACATTCCTGGAGTCTTGGAAATAGGCTGAACTGTGTCTTGTAGAGACCTTCGGTGTTGGTAGCTCCCTTCGTTCACTCTCTGTGTCCCGTGAGGTCTCAGCTGGACGAATCGACTGCGCGATGGACTTCCGAAGACCTCGCATTTCCTGTAGATACCGCTCCTCTCTCTGCTCTTGAGAGTCGAGAAATCTGCGCATCAGGGAAACCATCCCCTCTTCAGCTGTATCGTCCGGAGTAATCAACTTAGTTGATTGTGGGCTGGACTTTGGTGAGATTCTGGGAAGACTTGCAGCTCCCTCCTCCTCCTCCTCCGTATTCTCACCAGAATTCCCGGTCTCCTCCTCGTCTGATGCCGCCTTCTCTGTGGATCGTAAACCCGCCTTGGGTTTTCTACCTCTCGGCACTTTCCCACGAGTCGACATCCCACCGCTGCCACCAAATGTGATGAAGACGAGCCCACCAGCTCGTCTTCGGGGAGAAATGTGTGTCCGTTTGGATGTAAAAGGATGGCGCACTCGCAGAAGCACTTCGTGCAAGGTGGAATTTATTTTACAGTGCCAATAAGAAGACTGTCCACAGTGAAATATATCTATACAGGTGCGTACAAAAAGAAAAGGGAAGATCCCTTAAAAAGTACAAAAATAACAAAATAAAGATGAAAACTCTTTTAAATAAAATGTATCTACCACACACCAAAGGGTTTCGTTTGCTTGAGGCACCACAGTTGCACTCTCGCTTCCGACTTGGTTAACAAGTCCAGACTTCAGGTTTGGCTTGGTTTAAATAGGCCAAACCCCGCCCCTTTTTGGGCCACACCAATTTCAGTAACATCTTACATTCACTACACACCAATACTGCATCTATTGGATTATCCATAATAATCCATACTAATTAATTCCCTATAAATATATACACATACATACACATACACACATAATAACACATAATTTCTTCATTTAAATACATACACGAACACCTATCCACACTATACAATGGTTTCGTCAGCTTCCGGTTTTGATGCGCCGACGTGGCACGGCCATGCCGTCATAAACGACCACCGCTCGCTCGTTCGGTTTGGATTCCCGGCCGGAAGACTGACTACGCCCACACAGACAAACAACACGAACGAAACGACACAACAGTGCAATGTAAGTGTATGAAATGACTGGGGAATGAATATGGAAAGGAGATTGGAGAAATGGGATGAATGTCCATGTGCTATCATAATCGCGTGTGCACCCGCTTCTATGATAGCGGCAATGATGAGAAGGAACAAGATGTAGATGAATGGAGTATTTAAGGGTGTATATATGTGAGCGTGCCAGTGCTGCTTCCCCAGCGGTAGCAGCTAAGGTGACTTTATCACAAAATGTTTTCAGGATAATATAAACATTGATAAAAATAAGAAATGTTTCTTGAGCACCAATTCAGCGTATTGGAATGATTTTTGAGTAACGGCCAGCTTTGCCGTCACAGGAATGACATTTTTAAAGTAAAAAAAGTTATTTTAGACTGTAATAATATTTCACAATATAACCTTTACTGGATTCTTGATCAAATTATAACAGCCTTGGTGAGCATAAAAGACCTTTAAAAGCATGAACAAATCTGACTGACCCCAAACTTTTGAATGGTTGAGTTTACTATAAATGAATATCAAGTTCAAGCCTTAACTTTTTATCAAGTATTAAAAGCACGAAGAATTAAGCATGGGCTCGAAATATAGATCTTCTGAACTTGATTTATGAAAATTTTCTTCCCTACTGGACTATACCAAAGGAGCTGACAGGTCAAGGATTGTAATAATGGTTTCTAAGCACCTTTCAGAGAGTAACAGCTCAACGAATACTTCACCTTGAATAACCCAGCCAATCTAAAAGCGCAGAAGACGGAATCGGAGAAACAACCAAAATTTGCCTCGGAATCGTACCTGGAAGTACTTTGGCCCACTTGACCACTCGGATCATCTGTTTGCCGGCGAGCTGGTTGAGGCTGGTGAGCAGGTGGTCGGTTGTGTCGGGCTGTGTGTTGTCATATCCAGCGAACACAACTTCAGGCTCTATGAGCTCCAAGACACTACACACGGTTGGCGACAGAAACGGTGCTACCGCGGGGACGTGGGGGACGAGAGCGGTGGACGAGCTCAACTCTTTCTCGGAGGTCAGAAACGGAGGCCCTTCCTTTGAGTTCTGCAGGGAAGAATCATCGCTGACGCTTTTCATCTTTCCCAACTTCTTCGACTTCCGTGCTGAGAAATAACAAACGTGTATTATTAAAGCTGTTCACTGCGGCAGCCTGATCCATTTTATGAATAATTACAATTCATGTTAAACATTGAAGGTTCTTAAAATGATTTATAAGAGAGATAAATAATTTGAAATGAACAAGATATTAATAAAAAGACCCCAAGTGTAGTCTGGGAGCAGTGTTCTTGCAGTTTTTCATATCTGAAAGGAGCTGGAGCTGATAGAAGTAATTATTGAAGTAGAGATGGATCTTATAGCAGGGATCACAGTTTAAATCCCTGCTGTATAGATATGACCTCTTATGTAGTTCAGCAGGATGCTGTTAATTGACTGTGTGTGTTCCAATTTGATATTAATTGCAATATTCCTGTGCCAACAGATTTCATATCACATCAGTAAGTGAGATTGAAGGTGGCATATGTGCTAATTCTAATACATTCTCAGATTTTGTGCTCACAACAACTTTGCGAAATATTTAGAGACTTTCTAATCTTTTAAATGCATGGCCATTTATCTTTTTTTTTTTTCTTGGTGAAAAACTGGTAAAACTAAATGTATATAGTATATCAATAGAACCTAAAATATACACTTTCCTTTAACCATAGGTAAACTAAAAAAAAACATTAAAACAGAGGTTATGAAATTTAGCAGAACCACAATATACATTAACTTCAATCAACATTATTAACTAACGTTTTCAAATCACATGCTTATATAAGAAGAAGATATATATATATATACAGTATATATATATATATATATATATATATATATATATATATACACCTAAGGAGGTTAGTGATATATATATATATATATATATATATATATATATATATATATATATATATATATATATATATAAAGAAACGAATCGGTTACCTAACGTAACCTCGGTTCTCTCTAGATGAGGGAACGAGTATTGCGTAAGCTAGCTTACGCTACGGGAAAGATTCATCTTTGCTGAGAAGTTGAAGCCAAAAAATTATTCCATAATTTTGTAATCATTGTCAACGCAGTCTCCTCTGAGGCAGACCATGAGCGGGCTAGCTAGCGGCTCATTGGTTCGCTCAGAGAGAATGCACGAACCTATGGGAGAGCGGCGCTGAGTCCGCGGCCAATGAGCGGACGGCGCTCGCTCACTGCGTCACAGCCCGCCAAAAGGGGCGTGGCTACAGTGTATAAAGGTCGCTCTCCCAGCTCGTTCGTTGATTCTGTAGCATGAAGCGAAACGCTAGTGGCGCAAGCACGGCCGGGAACGCAATACTCGTTCCCTCATCTAGAGAGAACCGAGGTTACGTTAGGTAACCGATTCGTTCTCTTACGAGAGGTTCTCTCGTATTGCGTAAGCTAGCTTACGCTACGGGAACACCTGGTCAACGCCGTGCGCGCTAAGTAACCACTAAGCATCCCAGGGGAAACACCGGGGGAATCTAAAGTGGATGAAGATAATACGGCGGCCAGCATAGCGGCCGTTATCATCTAGTGCAAAACGCCCAAGGCGGCCGGCGAAGGCGGGCCGTGATGTGTAGGCTAATGCATAAGCACATAGGGGAACACAAGGGGTGAGCCGGTTGTGATGGAACTCCCGATAGTGCGGCTTCTATAGGAGGGCTGTGAGTACTAGACCGCCAGAATTTTAGCCTGTAAGGCTGGAACTTCCAAGTTATAAAACCTGACAAAAGTGGAGGGGGAGGCCCATCCCGCAGCCACACAATGTCATGGATGGAAATCCCGCAGGACCATGCCCACGACGAGGCCATGCCTCTGGTGGAATGAGCCCTGATGCCCAGAGGGCGAGGCAGGTCTTTAGCGGCATAAGCAGAGGCAATCGCGTCTACTATCCACCTGGCTAGGGTCTGTTTCGAGGCGGCTAGTCCCTTGGTGCGGCCACCGAACGACACAACAGCTGCTCCGAGCGTCTGAACGCGGCAACGCGTGTAGTGTGCACTCTGATAGCCCGAACCGGGCAGAGGCGGTCAGCGTCTCGTTCGCTATCGGATGCAGGCAGCGCCGATAGAGAGATCACTTGCGCCCTGAAAGGGGTACCAATCGCTTTTGGAACATAACCGTGTCTAGGCTTTAGAATGACTATGGAGTCACTCGGTCCAAACTCTAGGCACGCGGCGCTCGAAGACAGCGCGTGAATGTCCCCCACACGTTTTACTGAAGCGAGAGCCGTCAGAAGAACGGTTTTTAACGAGAGGTATTTTAGTTCCACGGACTCAAGTGGTTCAAACGGTGGGGCTTTCAGAGCTTCTAGAACTATAGAAAGATCCCAGACCGGCACCGTAGGGGGCGAGGGGGGTTCATCCTTCTGGCTCCCCTGAGGAAGCGGATGATTAGCTCGTCTTTGCCAGAGACTGGGCGCGCCGGGGTTCAACGAACGCCGCGACGGCTGCCACGTAAACCTTAAGAGTGGATGGGGACCTGCCTTTATCCAGCATCTCCTGAAGGAACACTAGCAAAGACGAAACCTCGCACGTCCGTGGGTCCAAATTCTTGTCGGTGCACCATTTGGAGAACACAGACCATTTTGCAGCATAGAGCTTTCTGGTAGAATCCGCTCTGGCGTGTTTGATCGTGTTCAAAACCCCTTCTGGCAATTCGACGCGTAGTCGTTGGTCACCCATGCATGAAGCGCCCAGCGCTGTGGATGGGGATGCCAGATCGAGCCGCGGGCTTGAGTGAGGAGATCTGCTCTGATTGGAATGGGCCACGGGGCTGTCTGTGACAGCCGCGTTAGCTCCGGGAACCAATCTGATTCTCCCAGCGCGGGGCTATGAGGAGCACCGAGTGGCGTGAGTCCCTGATTCTCTGAATGACCTGCGGTAGCAGAGAAATCGGGGGAAAAGCATAGAGCGGGCGGCGGGGCCAATCCTGGGCTAGCGCGTCCTCGCTCTTTGAAAAGAATATTGGGCAGTGAGCGTTCTCTTCTGAAGCGAAAAGATCTATCTCCGCTCTGCCGAATAGGCGCCACAGTGTTTGGACTGTTTGAGTGTGCAGGGACCATTCTCCGGGGGAGACCAGGTTCCTGGACAGGCTGTCTGGACCGTCGCTCAGATGGCCCGGCACGTGCGTCGCTCTGAGCGAGAGCAGGTGACTCTGGGACCACAATAGGATGCGGCGTGTCAGATGAAAGAGATTCTTGGATCTGACGCCGCCCTGACGGTTGATGTATGATACCACGGCCATATTGTCGGAGCGAATCAGGACGTGGTGACCGTTTATGCGCGGGAGGAAGCATAGCAGCGCGTTCTCGACCGCGATCATATACAGACAGTTTATGTGTAGGGAACTCTCGTGGCTCGACCACTGGCCGGCGGCCGGTGAGCCCTCGCAAACCGCTCCCCAACCCGAGTTGGATGCGTCTGTCGAGATAACTTTCCGGCGAGAGAAGGTTCCCATGGTAACGCCCCTCTGAAACCACTCGCTTACTGCCCATGGCTGCAGTGCAGTGATACGTGTCTGAGTAATCCTGATCATCTGGCGGCCCGTCGTCCACTCGTGGTGGGATACGCGGCTCTATAACCAGAGTTGAAGGGGGCGCATGTGCAGAAGACCCAGCTGTAGCACAGCGGAGGCTGAAGCCATATGACCCAGCATCCTCTGAAGCGATTTCAGGGATGTATGGGTACCCATCTGAACGAGGCGGCTAGGCGCTGAACACGGCGCGCGCGCTGTGTGGATAAGCGAGCCGTCATAGTGATAGAGTTCAAATCTATTCCAAGGAACGAAATAGTTTGACTGGGCTGGAGAGAGCTCTTTGTCCAGTTGACAGAGAGTCCCAGCGCTTCCAGATGGTTGAGGAGAACTGTGCGGTGCGACAGCAGCTCCGTCTGGGAATCTGCTAGCATCAGCCAGTCGTCCAGATAATTCAGTATGCGCAGCCCCTGACTTCGCAGGGGGGCGAGCGCTGTATCCATGCACTTCGTGAACGTACGGGGTGCTAAGGATAGCCGAACGGGAGAACGGCATACTGGTAAACTTGGCCCTCGAAGGCGAAACGTAGGAATGGCCTGTGATGAGGGTTTATCTGGATCTGAAAATAGGTGTCTTTCAGGTCTAGAGAGATGAACCAGTCCCCCTGGCGGACGTGCGCGAGGAGTTTCCTGACTGTGAGCATTTTGAACGGTCTCTTCATGAGCGCTTTGTTCAAAGCCCTGAGATCTAAGATCGGCCTGAGGCCGCCGTCTTTCTTGGGAACCAGAAAATAACGGCCGTAAAACCCCGACTCGGTCATAGATGGTGGGACTCTCTCTATAGCGCCCTTCTGCAGTAGCTTGGCTATTTCTAAGCGAAGCGTGTTCATAGCGGGCGGCTGACAGTGGATTCGAGCCGCACGCGCGAGCGTGGCGGGCGGCGACGAAACTGTAATCGATAACCATTCTTTTATTATGCTTAAACCCACGGGGAGATGCCAGGGATGGCTTCCCACGCTTCGTAAGCGGTTGAATGGCGATTTTGCCCTGATAGCTGCACATCGCGGGCTGGACACTGTGTGTGGGCACGCTCATAATGTGGGTGGCAACGGGACTTACACTCAGAGAGGAGTTTTATGGGCCGTGTGACAGAGCGGGCAGAGGGGGGACACGCGCACGGGCTCGTGGGCGTGCTTATGTTCTCTGCTGCTGGAGCGGAAAGTGCACGCTCCGTGAGAATGGGCTCTGTGAGAGACCCTGGGCATAAGGTGCTTGAGTGTGTATGTGAGCACATGCTTGTGGGCACATTTATTACACTTGAGGCTTTTATGCTCTTTTGTGAACTCTCTGGATAGCCGTGAAAACGGCTTTTAGACGCTCGCAAGCGGGCAGGGAAACCGGCTTGTTTGTGGCGGTAAACACTACTGCAGTCAGCGGTGAGACGGGGACTAACAGTGGGCGAGGCTTTTACGGTGATCCGGCCGCAGCGGGAGAAGCCGTCCTTTTCTCAGCTGTGCTAGGCAGACTTCTGTTGATCGGGCTTCAGCGCGATCTTGGGTCGAGGCCCCCTGGGAGGAGGCTGTCTGCGGCGGCTATCTGAGCGAGAGCGAGGGCGGCCGCCCTGTCTACGCTGGGGCTGCTGAGCTTGCTGAGGCGGGCGCTGCTGTGGGGTTCTGGCAGGAGGCTCGTGAGAGCGGCCTGTCGAAGAACTAGAGCGGCGGGGCAAGAACAGATTCATGGACTGAGTCGCTTTCTGAACCTCGGAGAAGCGGTCAACGATGCCCGTGACGGCAGATCCGAAGAGCCCGGTGGGAGAAATAGGCGCGTTGAGGAACAGGGCGCGTTCTGAATCTCCCATATCGGTGAGCGTGAGCCACAAGTGTCTTTCAGTGACAACGAGGGCGGCCATGCATTTTCCCAGGGCTTGTGCGGCGGCTTTAGTGGCGCGAAGGGAAAGATCCGTCGCGCTTCTCAGATCCGAAAGGATGGGCGGGTTCCTACCGCTGTTCGCCATCTCGCACAAGATGTCGCTCTGGAGCGCCTGGATGGAATGCAGCGCTGAGGCGGCCTGTTCGGCGGCGGCAAAGGCGCGGGCAGCATGGCAGTATAACCCATCTCGGCGGCTCCGTCCACTGAGCGAAGCGGACCCCTCGGAGCGGATACGAGCCGAAAGAGGGGCATTCCAGGATTTAGTGAGCTCGTAGTGAAGCTCAGGCAGGAATGGTGCAGCCCGGCTGCAGGCGGGGGTCGAGCGCCGGTTCGGTGGTTGCTCGGGGGGAGGAGACCACTCGAGACCCAGGCGGTTGAAGGCCTGCGAAGGGAGGCGCGATAGATCCTCCTCGATGCCGGCGCGGGTCCCCGCAGACTCTCTCGTCGATGAGCCGATCGACGACCAATCCTCGCTGTCAGAAGGGTGCAGCGAACAAGAGTCCTTCTCATCCGCGGTGTCGTCGGAGGCGACAGAGCGGCCATACGGCGGCAACTGTAAGTCCGGCAGGGGCGGAGAGGGAGAGCGGTCGGTGGGCGGCGGCGGCGGCCCACATGGATCCGCAGGGGGCTCCGGCGGCCTCTGGGAGCGGCGTTTCTTCTTCCGCGGCGAAGTGAGAGGCGGCGCGGGAGCGGTTCTGACTGCCTGTAGTCGAGCCCGCAGGGAAGACGGAGGCAGGTCCTCGCAGTGGTCGCATCCTCCGTTGGCGAGCTCTGCGTGTTCCACTCCGAAACAGAGAACGCAGAAGCGGTCTCCTTCTCGAGTGAAGAGCGGCATGAGCCGCAGGAAATTCGAGGCATCTTGAAAAAGACGCTCGGCTCTTTTAGGAATATGGAATAGTAAAAAGGATACGCGTCGGATGGCGCTAGCTTGCTGGGCGGCTGAAGGTGGCAGACGGCCGGCTTCCTCAGACTCCGGAGCTCGCTAGACGGTGCCTTCTCAACGACGGCGGCTTCTTCCCAGGACAGCGGATGCGTGTAGCTCGCTGAATGAACAAGAATCAACGAACGAGCTGGGAGAGCGACCTTTATACACTGTAGCCACGCCCCTTTTGGCGGGCTGTGACGCAGTGAGCGAGCGCCGTCCGCTCATTGGCCGCGGACTCAGCGCCGCTCTCCCATAGGTTCGTGCATTCTCTCTGAGCGAACCAATGAGCCGCTAGCTAGCCCGCTCATGGTCTGCCTCAGAGGAGACTGCGTTGACAATGATTACAAAATTATGGAATAATTTTTTGGCTTCAACTTCTCAGCAAAGATGAATCTTTCCCGTAGCGTAAGCTAGCTTACGCAATACGAGAGAACCTCTCGTAAGAGAACACCATAATTCTCATTCAACTTTTGGAACTTTATGTAATTTCAGGTTGGTGAATATTTGTTTACTGCTTTCAAGATGCTCTTAAAGACAGAATGAACAGAACATAGACATTACTGCAGGAAATCCTACTTACTCAACTAATGCTATTTACTCTGTTATTCAGTGATGAAAGCTGGTGTAAGATAAACTATATATGAGACACAATTGTAAAACTTAGGTTTTTTTTTTTTTAAGAAACTTTTCCCCTAAAAAACTGACATTTAATTGTAGAGATGTGACTTTGATTAGAGCTGGCTAAATAAATGTTGTGATTCTACTTCCAATACAGATGAAAATCATAAAAAAAACTAATAACAAATAAATGTTATTATATATAAAAAAGTTATTATATTGTTTGTTTCTCCTAGTCTTTGTGCTTGTGTTTTTGTCCGTTTCTAAATCACTAGTTAATCTCTACCTAATGCAAGTTTACATGGCTTTAGTGATGTACACAGGAAAACCCAATGTTTGTTGGGTTTAATAATAAAGTGGCCCTAAGTTTTCAATAATATTCCAATAATAAGGGGGCCCCAATCAGTGTGACCCTTGCATTCACACCAATAACCAAAATCTTTTTGAAATCAACCACACTCTCAAAGTTTTAAACAGCTCCCCAAGTACACACTCATATTGTGTTGCAATTATATTGAAAACACAGATATATGTGAAGTATTTTTCAATATGCTTATTTAAGTCACTTACCTTTTATTAAAAAAAAAAAAGAATTCTGTGGAACATTGTAAATCTTTACTACAAAGGCAGTGCCTCTTTTTATAACATTCACAATAATATATATATATATATATATATATATATATATATATATATATATATTATCTCTTGGATATGTTTTATATATTTTTTAAGACGAATGATCTCAACTGTGACGGTATAATTGTTTCATATCATTTCACAACAGATTTTAGTCCCATAGTGAGAAAATTCAGTTACCCCCAAGATTCATCCCGGCTTGTAGACACTTCCGTACTCTGCAAGCTGGGCAGTTTTTCCGTCGAATCTTGTCAATGATACAGTCATTCCTCCCAGCACATAGGTAGTTGTGCTGACCTGCAAGGAGAAATACAAAGTATTCAAGATCTCTGTAAAAATCTCTGCGTCTGTATCCCTTTTTTCTCTCAAGTTCTCTCATGGTCAGATGAATAATAAGCTGTCAATTTAACACCCAGTTAGTACATTAAATATGTTTTTTTTTTTTTCCTGTGGGGGCATTTCTAAAACAATACAAATAATAATCTATATATGAAGAGTTCTTTTCCAAAAAGCTATAAATCCATTTCAATAGTTTTCAGGAAAACTAAATTTTTTACCTAGACCCACACATTTTGTGAATATTCAAATTATCCTGTTGAAATGTTTTATTGGTTCAGTCTGAAGATTTTGAACAATGATTATTAAATCAAACAACAATATTGTTGATGATAAATTAAAAGTTAATTTTATTTTTTTTCAAAACGCTATAAATCCATCCATTTTTTGTATAATTTTTAGTAAAGTCATTTTTAGTAAAGTGTCAAACCTCAAAAAATAGTACCAATTTCAACAAATGCATGAAAAAAAAACCTAATTATTAAAATTATCAATAATGATAACGATATTCAAAAAAAGGGATGGGCACCCCTCCAGCACATGCACACACATGTATAGGCTACATAGCATGTGAGCAAAGCGGAGCGGCGTGACGCTTAAATATAAGTAAAAAAAAAACTAAAAAAAAAACAAAAAACAAACATAGGTTACGTTTGTGTTTAATAATATTACGTTACTTATTTTTATTATTTCATCTATGTTGAGTATAGGCTATGAAAAGTGAACCGCATGAGATGAGTAAGATAGGATCAAAATTCAAAAGCTGCCCAATATCGGAAAATGTTTGGAGTGGGACGTATGTAGGCTAATTCGAATTATGCGTTTCTCATAGGGCTATGCGCGTTCACTGCGAAGATGGCGAGTAAGCATCATCAACTTTATCTTTGCTGCTGACACTGACAGAAAACACTAGTTTATTAATAAAAAATTCAAATGTTTCATGCATAATCATTACTTTTGCCGGTTCTTTGTGGCAAGCTTTATGCATGCGTTGAATAGGCAATTATATACGCTCATATGGTTTCTCTCCCATTTAATTAAATCAATATACTGATTAGACAAATGGCTTTGATCTACTACTAGTCAACTAGAAAACTAGGACTCATTTTGAGGAATGAATGAACATAAACAAACCTCTGTTCAGAGTGCCGCCGTGCTGGATTGCGTAGAACGCTCATCGAATTTGAGGATTTATCGCGTTTAGGCTAAAAACAGGGCTGGCGCTTATCGCGGTTTGGAAAGAAACTCTATCTTGCATTACATTTTAAACAGGGAAATATAGCGATTTGGCATGAAACGTTGATGGAGCAGTGAAGGGGTTCTGTCCACAGCAGAATGACACAACAAACTCATTTTTTTTTTTTAAATGGCGTTTATCGCGTTTTGGAAAAGAGCTCTTCATATGTTGGTTAATTTTAATAATTCATTAATATAATATGAATTTAATTACATTTAATATGAAACACAAACAAGAAAGATGTCAATTAGTCAAACTGGGACCATCACAAGGACACAGTGATGTATTGTCATCATCTCTTTGTAAGTATCCGACAGCTGTCCTAGACTTTACGCCCCTCACTATTATCATCGAGCACAAATGAGCCATCCCAAATAGTGTTTTTGAGTGTGTCATGGGTTGGCTGATGTCTTGGCGTGGGACACTACGACAGAGACCGCAACAGCCTGAGAATCCCTCATGCGCTGCCTTCCTCAGCCAAGGCCACAGCTCTCGTTTCAGAGCACCATTCCGCTCCACTGGCTCACCGCACACCCACGCGCTCCACGGGCCGGAGCACCACGCCGCAGGGCCGCACTGTGGCCATGTACATCTCTCTTTCATTCTCGAACCCATATTCCACCCCCTCTTTCACTCGCGCATCATGGGAAGGACGTGCTACCTACACGAGGGCACTATCCTTTAGCGCTTATGGACCGTGTGGCTGCAGACAGGCACAATGACTGTTTTCGGTGGTGGGGAAAAGGCTCAGCGAGTCTGTCTAAAAGCTGCCAAAAAAGCCCAGGATCTGCAAACGGAGCAACAGCAGCTGTAGCCTCGCCACTATTTCTGGCTAAATCACATGACCCCTTACATAAGCCCATTTTTCTTGCTCTAAAAAACCGTAAACCGCGACACAGGAAACACAACGAAGCCCTCCCCCTCCGCCTCACCACCCAAATACAGACACAAATCAGACCTGAAATCTGTTCAGCTGACTCTCTGACCACTCTCCGCAGCTGCCCCACAAATCCTGTTAATCATTATCCCAACAGAAGCACTTACATGGACTGTATTGTGCTCTGTGCGTCTGTATCAGCGCACGTGTGTCCGTAAAGGTGTTTCTGGACAAAGGTAGCGGAGAGAATGTTTGTGTGCTTGAGGACGAAAGAGGACCGTCGAGTATTATGGTGTTTCAGCACACTGTAGGTTGTGGATCTATATCTGTGTGGTGTTTATTCTTCGTACATAAAGAATCGCAGCAAGTGCATATTATGGTCTATCACAGAAGTATGTCATTGTTTAGCCGTTTTTTTTTTTCTCATTGTGTGATTTTAGTGTTACTAAAAGTCATATTGAGTTTAAAGGTACCAAAAATATAATTTCTAGTTAAAATGTTTTTATTAGGGAATCCAACAATTTCACACTCATTGTTACATTGCTTTTTATGATTCCTTATTATAAACTTAAAAACATAAAGGCAACATAAAAAAAAACACAAGAAAAGAAAACAACAACAACCAAAATAAAGAAAAAGAAAACAGTGGCCATTTATTTACCCTCGTATCACTACAAAAACCCAACTTTTTTTACTTCTTCTGCATGACATAAAATATATTTTTAATGATTATCCTTTTGGGTTATTTTAAGACAATGACATTTCATTGCGCCATAAGATTGCTTTTGGTAAGATAATCACGCACATTGTGCGCCACTTATTTTTTCACACTCCAGTCCAGTAAGTGGCAGAAATGCTCACCTGCTGCTTCTGGTGTTTCCAACCCGATCTCTACGAGGTGGCTAATTCGTAACAATTCGTACGACCTCACTCGTACGAATTAGTACAATTTTACTAAATCGTACATATTTTACGAATTAGCCAATTCGTATGAATTCGTACGAATGACCTACCCCTGACCCCGCCCCTAAACATAACCGTCACGTGGGTTTAGACAAATCGTACGAATTCGTACGAGTGAGGTCGTATGAATTAGTACGAATTAGCCACTTTTGAATCATTCGTACGAATTGGTCGTGAGATAGCGTAGGTGTTTCTGCACACCAATGTAAAAGATGGTTTTTACCACCATTTTTTTTTTTTTTTTCTGTTAAACTTGCTTACGTATTGGGCTGTTTTTACCCAAAACCAATCGGAACAATTGGAAAATGTTCAGCAGGTCACATACACTTTCCCTGAAAGGGTTAAAGTGAGTCACAATATACTTTAAGGGTTAAAGTGAGTCACAATATACTATATTTGTATTAATTTCACCCAACTGGATTTTTTTTCCTTTGCGTGTGTTCCCCAGAAGAAATTAAGGCAGGTTTGAAATGACATGAGCTTGAAGTTTTACAGCTGGTTTCTTCAGCCACTTCTAGCCTGAAATGTGAAATGGATCCTTTAATCCAAAAAATTCCTCTCCTCATACACATTGTAGGCTACCAAATGTCATTAGTTTCCACAAAAGTGTGTTTAATACTAATGATGAATTTGGAATACTATTTCAACCTTATTAAATCAGTGTGTGTGCATGTGAATTGCTAACATGCGAGTTCCTATACAAGCTTGTCTACTTTTAGCCAATTACATATGATAGAGTGATGCACGAAAATCTAGCCTCTCAGCTTAGAAATGAATTTTGAAAATTTTGACACATGGACTTCAAAGTAGCTCTGCTTACATCAAGCTTTCAGATCTAAATGTATGTTAGATATGTGACACTCTATTACCATGTAAACTCATGGTAATACAGTGTCATATATCTAACCTACATTTAGACCAAGATGAATAAGATGCCCCTGTTCACATTAGCCGTTAGCTATAGCATGTAGCATAGAAACACAGGCCAATGAATCAGCATGTGTCTAGTTCTTTCACCATGAATTTCAAATCTCTTCCAAGTATGTGACTCACTGCATCATTAAGGAAATCAGGGGTGTTCAGACTGCAGTAAAAAAAAGTGATCTGCCATTTTCAATGAGACCTCTGACCTTTAACAACCGTCAGTGATGCGAAAAAGTTTAGCTGAGCTTGACTAGCAAAGGGAGTTCAGAAAATGATCCGACCGCCACTCAATGCAGCGCTTGCTTTAGTAGCTTATGGCAACCAATAGCTCCATGAACTCCAGGGATTAAATAACAGTGTGAATCACTGTGTCAAAATGGCATTACCAATTTCCATTTAAGTAATAGATTAATTTATTTCTGCTAAATGTGAATGAATACATTGATGTAAACTGCTAATAACTCGAATTTGTTGTTCTTCCAACACAACCAGATTCAGTCTTCAGTAGGATTATTGTATGAACAGACACATGAGAGTTAAATTACAAACCAAAACTCAGCTGTAATCATTTATGAAAATACTTTTTTTTCCAGTTTCCTCTCATCATTTGTTATTTCCACACATGTACTTCCTGCACTTTGCAGTCCTCTGCTTTCCTGTTAGAAATTGTATCTGGTCCAAGGTTGAAAAGCTGCTGCTTAATCTGTACATAACGTCAAGCAGTGCTTCCATTTCCAGTGGAAAAAATGTCTTATATATTTGTACTGTACATGTAAATTAATATTTTCCTCAGAGGCTTTGCTGTACATTAGGCTTAGAGCTGCCTTGAGGGTAACATACAGATTAATAAACTAAGAAAGCCAGATAGTTCAGAATCAGAATTTGATGTGGTTAGAGTGTTAAATTGAAACAGTAAGAAGCAGCTGTCATCAACTGACCAGAAAACAGGCTTTTAACCTC